AGCCACAAGGCTTATGAGGGTGAAACAAATTCCAAAAATATAAAAAATATTAAATTACATAAAAGAAAAAAAACACAAAAAGAATATAAAATAAAATATAATAATAATGTTTAAAAATATATATTAAAAAATTATAATATTCTAGTTCAGCAAGGATGCATTCGATTTGATCAATTGATAGTAAAGACATTCATAATATTACAAAGATTTTTATTTTAAAAATATGCTGTTCTTTTGAACTTTCTATTCATTAAAGAATCCTGAAAAAGTAAGGAGTAATGGTTGCTGAAATTCATTTTTTCTATCACATGAGTAATTTATACTTTAAAATATATTAAAACAGAAAATATTATATTTTAAAGATAAAAAATAATAAGTAATAATAATTCACAATATTACTGTTTTTACTGTATTTTTGATCGCATAAATGCATCCTTGGTGAGCATAAGATACTTATTTCAGAAACCATTAATGCAGAAATTTGAGGCCTGTAAGATTTTTTTAGAGGTTAGAAGTAGATCGCATTAATGGTTAATGTCATATCATGACTTTTACATAAAATATATATTTGTGTAGTTAACAAATAACTTGCACATGTAAATTTTTTGCACTTCAAGAATGTAGGTTAAAATGTTACAGATGTATAAAGGGTAGTTTGGTACTGAAGCTTACACATACACTTATTTCATGCACTCTCTCAATTAATATGTGGCCATAAAACTGGGTAGTTTTAAAATAAACTGCAGGACGCTGTGGTCAACTCTTGAAATTTCACTCTGCTTGACTTCCTCCCTCAGATCTTCTTCCTCCTACCATGGGGATGGGAAGAGCTCCAGGGGATTGGAGCTGACACCTGGCTCTCCAGATTTCAGGCAAAGTCATTTTGCAGAAGGAGATGTCTCGCCATGCAGTCCCTTCTGTACTGGAATGGAGGATCCCTTCAGCCAGGCTGAGGATGAACAGCAGGTGTGTGTGTGTGTGTGTGTGTGTGTGTGTGTGTGTGTGAGAGAGAGAGAGAGAGAGAGAGGAGGAGGAGGACTTAATGTTCTTTTCAACTTTATTATTGCTGTAACAATGTCAATTAGCACTTTAGTTGGAAGAACATCCTGTAGTTCAAAAATTTTTATTTCTCCATGTATCATTAAATCCTTGAGTCTTCTTTTGGGGGCTATTTGTGCATCCTGAAAGATATATGCTTAATATTCTTTACATTGTGAGAGAATATAAATGCATATAATAAACCCTGGTGTTTTGGAGTTTAATAACCTCAATGAATCATCTTCTTCTACATTTGCAGGCTGCACTGCCATGGGAATGCCGGTCATTCCCCTTGCAGGAGTCAGAACTTCAGTGGCTGCAGGAGGAGGAAGAGGCGGAGCCCGACGAGGACCCGTGCACCACCAGCGGCCGCAGCCAAAGCACGGACTCGGGCATCTCTGTGGGCAGCCTGGAGCTCTCCCCGAGGACCCCTCAGCCCCCTCAGCAGCACTCAGGCACAGAGCGAGCCTCCCCTCACACACTGTCCTGCAAACCAGCCACCCCGACGACAGTCTCTACAGCTCAGGATTCACCCACACTTCCTCTTTCCTTATACTCTTCCTCTCCTTTATCATAGCGCATCATTTGTCCAACTGTTTTTTCTGCTCTAGTATGAAAACAAAACCACAGGTCCCAATGCCATTGACCCTGTCCATCCATTTATCTAACCACAAGCACCTTGTGTCCTAACATTCTGTGCCCTTTCCCTGAACCCTCTGGAGCCTTACATAAAACCACAGAGCCTATTATTTATAATCTTCCCTCAAACCTTCACTCATTCGCCCAATAACAAGTGCATCTTCACCAACAACCCAGTTTGGCCATTAAGCATCTCTGGTCCTTCCCTTATACATCCTTTCAACTCTTCTTCACCAGCCTGCCCCCGATACAGCTGCCGTTCAATCTGATGCTACTTTAATGAACAGATGGTGTCTGTTTTTCCATTGTTTATTCATTTTTTGAACCTGTCTAAAGCTTTTTCTCCAGCTATGTCAGTCAGTCATTTTGTGTTTTAGTTAAATCCTTGTTTAAAGCTCTATGCTGTTTTCACAGATAAACGATGTTACACCAACATGGGACGAACTCAATTTGTAAACTCTTGGTTATTGATCTCCATATAAAGGCACTACATATTACCCTCATATTCTGTGACCTTATTCATGTGTTGTATTGTATGTATTCCGCAGAGATGTATGCATCATAGCATTTCAAGTCTGTTTCATGCTCTCTGGGATGCTACATGTGTCTTTCCTCTTTCCTTTTGAGCTCAACACAAGTATTTTTTTTTTTTTTTAATTTACATATGACGTGCTATGTGTGTGTGTGTGTGTATATATTATGTTAAAGGAAGAGTGATAGTTCTTGTGTTAATCAGAGAGTGTATGTGTGTGTGTGTGATTTAGACAGGTCTGCTGTACTGCTGCATTAGGGGGTAGCGTTGAATAAAAACATAATTTTGTAGGAACACAACAAAACTAAGTAAAGTAAATGGAATTTCTACTTGAAACGCACATAATGCTCTCAATGCAAAGACGTAATAAAAGGAATAAACACATAAATGCAAACTACTTTTGCTTGATGCTTATTTACTTATTAATGTTCCTGTATAGAAGAGCATTTAAAAAAATGTCACAAAGTAATTATGAGACAGTAATAATTATGAGAATTAAAATTGACATACTAAATCATTAATATGAGACAACATCTCCAAATTATTAGATAAATAGTATTAATGGAAAGGTTTTTTTTTTTCAGTTTTTATTTTTTCATTTTCATAATTACCTTTTTTTTTCATCATTACTACTTCTTATGTCAGTTTCCACTTCATCTCAATTATGATTTAGTAGCCTATGCTTAATTATGATTTACCAAAGCATGTTTTTTTTTACTTATCTGGTGAAAATGGGCTTTCATATTCCTGCCTATTTGTCCTAAAGGTATAGTATTATTTCATCAAAACAATCTCATTTATTCATTTATATGATTTATTTTCTCTTTTTTGTCATCGTTTACTTACCCCCATGGAGTACTAACCCATTTTCTTTATTCTGTGATACACAAAGGAGATCTTGTAGTTTAAGCTATTTTCATTCAGTTTGATGTAAAAACAATAGACTAAGTATGTCTTGCATCCTTTAATGTTAGCGAACATTGCAAATAAATTGGTTGCAAAACGGTATCCACTCACGTTTAACCTTTTTGTCTGGTTGTTATGGTCAGATTTTTTTTTATTAGATTACTACATGTTATAGCCTAGCCAATGATCACTAGATTTTATACAGATGTTATTATAATGATTCTGTAAAGCATGATCAGCACCCAAATATTGTATATAATAATGTGGAAGTTGCTGCCTTTTGCCTTGGCGTGACATCTCACTTTTCGCAGACAGTGCAAAGTCAAAGTACCTACAATAACTTCAAAATAGCGGTAAAAATCAAGTTTGAGATCATTAAAACATCTAATTGCCAGATTTCCAGTGTCCTACCCATAATTATTTTTTTCTGGACAAATAAAAAATTTTAAAGCCAATTTTTAAGTTTCAGTCTAGCGAGTTTCACACTCTGGAGCAGAGCTGTCCACCTGTCACTCAAGTAGCCACGCCCTTAATTATGCAGAACTTTAAGGCTTAAAGGCGGGTCATATGATGCCATTTCAATTTTTCCTTTCTCTTTGGAGTGTTACAAGTTCTTGGTGCATAAAGAAGATTTGTAAAGTTGCAAAGACTAAAGTCTCAAATCCAAAGAGATATTCTTTATAAAAGTTAAGAGTCAGCCACGCCTACCTAAAACAGCTCATTCTAACACGCCCCCACATATCTACGTCACTATGTGGGAAGATTTGCATAACGCCGCCCAAATGTTCACGCAAAGAAAGACGGCATAACTTTTATTCTTGCTGTAGTATTGTTGTTGCCGCCACCATGTCGTAAAGACGCTGTGTGCTTCGTTGTGAAAGCGAAACTACTTTGTTTGGTCTTCCAAAAGAGGACGATATCTGCTTCATCATGCCTGGAGCTGATCCGTGCTGGTTGCTGAGGAAATACTACAACTTTGCGCTGTCGATTGCTGGATCGGCTTTCACCGTGGACGAAGCGGAGTCCAGCCGCCCCCCCGCCTCTGCTCACTCTAGCCCTCCGGCCATTCCTCACTTCCTCACGCGGCCTCTGCTCACTGTAGGCCGCCGTGTATGACGCTGTTTCGTTGTGAAAGCGAAACTACTTTGTTTGGCTGTTTGGCCGAGGACGATATCTGCTTCATCATGCCTGGAGCTGATCCGTGCTGGTTGCTGAGGAAATACTACAACTTTGCGCTGTCGATTGCTGGATCGGCTTTCACCGTGGACGAAGCGGAGTCCAGCCCGGAGTCGACACCTGTCCTTCCGGACTCTCCTTCGTCAAAATCGCCGGCCGCGCCATTCTCAAGCCCACCCGCCTCTGCTCACTCTAGCCCTCCGGCCATTCCTCACGCTAGCCCCCGGCCTCTGCTCACTTACTATTTTTCAGCCTTGGCGATGTGCTCGTGAGCTTCGTTGATTTTTTGCGCCATCGTGTTAAATAAGGCCTTTACACCTGAACGATTCAGATAAATACATAAAGGACTCGGTCCGCGGCAGATCAAACGCTGCTCGTGTTGTTGTCACCCGATGACGACGCTAAAGCGGACTTCCGGGTTACTACGTCACCTCGCTCTGAATCCTACACTCTGTATTCTACATATTGTAGTCTATGTTCAATATTTTTCTATACGATATGTTGGAATGGCTATTATGTTCATTGGGTGTAATATGACTGACATTTAATAATAATAATAATTAGAAAAAAAACATTAGGACATATCAGAACTGACCAATGACTTCAAGCTGTGTTTGCTGCCCACTATCGGCTACACGAGGCATTACAAGACCACATTATAAACACTCCACGAACAGCAAGACTTCAAATTAATATTAAACACAACTAGATGCATCTAGTGAGCTCATTTTCTATATTTAGGTATAACAGCATTTAGTATGTCACAGTGCAAGAAATTGCTTCAATTGTGTTCAAATTAATTTCACTAACACGTCTTGCAAAACTAAGAATATACAATATTCTTCCATGAACTACTTTCTCAATCATGGCTTTTGGATAGAGCAGCTTAAAGCTTCACTGCTGCAGTATCTGATACATGTGCACTTATAAACACAGGCAGTGGTGCATATGTTTGATTATAGATGCACAGGAGACACAAAAATATACAAAGAATTAAAAATACCAGTACATGGTTGGCATTTCTTTAATAAACATTTGCCAAAGGGGGGGGGTCATCTTCATACAAAAAGACATTGTTGCTCATCTCCTCGAAGTCAGTTAAACGTCTCTTTACTTTCAGTTTTACAACGGCTATAGACGAGAGCCGGCAGGAGCGTTGATCCGTTCACTCGTTCAGCAGATTCAGCAGCTCAGTCGAGAAGTGCTACCAGTCTCTCCGGAGTCCTTCACAAGCCCCTCCAGCGAACTACCCTTGCCACAGAGCCCGTAATTGCTGAATCATTAGAAATGAAGAAAAAAAAACCAAAAAAAAGGGCCCAAAAAAAAAAAAAAAAACGAATCTACCCCCGCCCCCCAAAGCCGTAAACCTAGGGGAAACACTGTAATTGTTGTAAAGCATTAACATTCCAAAAGTTATTTACAGTGAATTACAGACATATAAAATAACTTGATAATTGGCTGAAACTTAAAATGTCTTTGTTACATAATAAGCACAATAATTAGTTTTACAATTTAAATGCACACATATTGACATCCCGGTAGTTTATTGATCTGCAAAGGGAATTCTTAAGTAGATATCCACTGTATTTTTTTAAATTAAATTGTCAACTATCAAGCATCTTTACTTCATTAATATGACATTTTTCTTTCATTTTATATATATATATAAGCAGCACTGGTTTCTCAACCTGAATGGCTTTTAAGGATGGTTGCATCAGGTAGGCTGTCGTCCTTTGTCTTGGATGTGCTTGTACACCAGAAGGTTCTGCTGGTTGCACAGGTGGAGAATAGTCACCTGCCTAGCAGTCATACAAGCTCAGTGAGTATCCGAAAGACCATCTACAGCCTTCTGCTTGAAAAGGCAAGACAGGATAGTCGAGTCACCCATAGAGGAAGGGGAAGACAATCTCAGGGTAAAGGAGGACAGCAATGTAACATCCCATGTGTTGATGAGTATGACAGACAAGAACTTAATCTCAAGAAAAACACAGTGGAGGCTCTCCGACCCAACTGTGTGCCACAGCTGACTCTTGCAGCAATTGACAAGGTGGATAACTATTTCTGCATGTAAATATTGTCTGTATATTGTTCCACCAATTGCCTTTTGGTTTTTTTATTATAGGCGTCTACACAAGTGAGGCTGCAGGTGTTGTTGGGAACACTTGGTGTGATGGACAGTGTTTTACAGCCTTTACCCCCTCATTTTTGCCTTCCTGTGTGTGTGACGTATTTCTGGATGAACAACTGTAAACCAAAGCCCAGTCATCCTCTACTGCAGGCCATATTGTTGGGACTGGTGCACGGGGAACTCAGCTGGAGAAGAGCCCATCCTAATGGTATCTCTGATCCCTTTTTTACTCAACATCTGTCTCAGGTGTTTGGTTTGAGAAAAAATATATTGAGAGATTGACATAAATTGTAGATAAAATCTATTATGACGTGAATGAAATTTACTTGCTTATCAACTTGACGTCTTCAGTTTTTAGAGCTTTAATCACCTTCAGTCATATCTTGTTTTGCTCTCTCTATCATGCAGACCCACTATTTGGCAGCAAAGCTTCTGCTTCTGTATGTCAGAGATTATCTCAGCTACGGGTCAATCCAGGACAAAGGAGGGGCCTTGATCTGGGTTTGGCCCATTTGCTCAGCCAGTGGCAGTCATGTATGTGGGTGGCGTTGTTCCTGAACCAGTTACTGGGCTTCCCGCTACCTGAACCTCAATGTGCCTGGTAGGGTTTGGCCATAAAACAATCCCAGTGAAATATTTCGTAGTTCTCATCATTGCTGTTTTGAATAAATAATCACCTTCTTCATTTATCAGATTTGCCCTAAAAAGATTATAGTATATGGGGGACAAATACAACTATAATCATATTTGTATGTAATATCTTTTTGTATGTAATATCTTTGGACAAAACAACTATATACAGGGGTGCACATACGTTTTTTTAGCCTGGTTTGGTCCTCACACTGCACATAGTGTGACCCATTAAATACAACTATAAAAAATAAAGTAATCGTAGTGATAATATTGTTGCACTTTATTTTAGTAAAAAAAAAAAAATAATAATAAACTAAATAATAAAGTGTGATAATACTATTATATTTTAAAATAAAAAGGGAGTATTAAATACAAATACAACTATTTTAGAGTAAACTTAAAATGCTAATTTTTTTTTTTAATACTTTTTTTAAAAGATACATTTTCATCATTTTCAAACTTAAAATCAGCAGGTTTTTATTTTGGCGGGTTGCCGGCAAGTAAGTATATGCGCTTCTGGGACAAATACAACTATAATCATATTTGTATGTAATATCTTTTTGTATGTAATATCTTTGGACAAAACAACTATATACAGGGGTGCACATACGTTTTTTTAGCCTGGTTTGGTCCTCACACTGCACATAGTGTGACCCATTAAATACAACTATAAAAAATAAAGTAATCGTAGTGATAATATTGTTGCACTTTATTTTAGTAAAAAAAATATATATAAATAAACTAAATAATAAAGTGTGATAATACTATTATATTTTAAAATAAAAAGGGAGTATTAAATACAAATACAACTATTTTAGAGTAAACTTAAAATGCTAATTTTTTTTTTTAATACTTTTTTTAAAAGATACATTTTCATCATTTTCAAACTTAAAATCAGCAGGTTTTTATTTTGGCGGGTTGCCGGCAAGTAAGTACATGCGCTTCTGGGTTTAGCGCTGCCGACTGAAGCGCATCAGTGAATGAAATGTCACAGTTTTGCATTGTGCTTTGAAAACGGCAGAGGGTAGCCTAGATATATTTATCTATTCAGTTTGAATAGAAATCTTATACAGTATTACAGTTTGTCGATCTAAAATGGTGCTAATATTTACTTCTTTTTTTAAAAGATACATTTTCATCATTTTCAAACTTAAAATCAGCAGGTTTTTATTTTGGCGGGTTGCCGGCAAGTAAGTATATGCGCTTCTGGGTTTAGCGCTGCCGACTGAAGCGCATCAGTGAATGAAATGTCACAGTTTTGCATTGTGCTTTGAAAACGGCAGAGGGTAGCCTAGATATATTTATCTATTCAGTTTGAATAGAAATCTTATACAGTATTACAGTTTGTCGATCTAAAATGGTAATTGTGCATTAACAGCTGTCATGTCGGTACGCAAATGCGCTGTCAGAACTTATTTACACAGCGCATTTTTTATTTTGGTCGCGAATGCGCACCTGCATACCACTTATGTGCACCCCTTACTATCTATCTCTCTCTATATATATATATATATTGTGTAATATATAAAGTAATCGTAATAATACATTTAAAATATTTAACAAATAATTTTAAGATTTGTATGTAATATTATTAGATAAATCACATGAATTATATAAAAAATATGCATATACATAATTCATATGATTTTTCTACATCAAATTTATTACAAAAAATATCATTATAATTGTATTATTAGTACTTTATATATGATTTATTTATACATAATTTAAGTATATTTAATAAGTATATTTTAATTTAAGTATATTATTTACAGTATATTTATTATATCATATTGCTGTCTGTGTTTCTCAAAGGGTTTTCAGTGGTACTCTGCTGCATGGTCTTGAGGCTGCCATAAGAGGGGGTCACCAATGTGAGTCTCTGCTTGCAGGGGACGCTGTTGCTTGGCAGCTCTACTCCATCCTGTTTGAGGCATTGACGGGTCCTGCAGTATCAGCAACAGCAAGCAGGGGTAGAGGAGAGGAGCAGAGACAGGCACAGCAAAGAGGGAGGGGCCATGGTGGGAGAGGACGGGGCAATGAAGGGAGAGGGCGGGGCAATGAAGGGAGAGGGCGGGGAAATGGGGGAGGAAGGAGGGGCAACAGAAACCGAGCAATGACCTCTTCAGACAATGCTTTGGACAACAGGTTTGCCCTGTTGACCTTTGACGAATGTCAGCAGTGGTGGGCTTGAAATGGGAGCGGGAAATGAAAGATTAGATTTGAAAGGTTAGTTTAGGAGAGGAGAATAAAGAATTTCAGAGATAGATATGTTTTTAGCTATGTTTTTATGCGGCCTTTCACTTTATAAAAGCATGATATGGCTGAGGATGTGCCACTTTTTTCCGAAGAGAGTAGCTTTTACCAACTTCATTTCAGGAAACACAAAATTGTTTTATTTACTATGAAAATGTTTTACTATGAGAGCTGTTATACATGCACTAGGTTAATCTATTTTGCAGCTACATTATGAAAATGGTCTGTTTAATGTAGCCTTTTATACTATTGAATTGAATTAACTTTTATGAAAAAGAATGTAGATTTTATATATTATCAAATGACTCTTTTAGGACCAATGCCTTTTTATTAAATATTTATGGTGATAATTTGCTAGTACAATTAATGTTTTTAATTGGAGCAGATTCCTCTCCTTAATTATGTAACGCTTGATTATTGTGCCATTGAGACACCAATATGGTGTAGAAACCTTCAGTGTCATTCTGTTTCAAAATGGCACACAATCTCTTGCTTCCTTGCGGTCGCTCTCTGAAATTACCTGCAGACTGAAATTAAGAGCCAAATTATCAATTGCCGTTTTATTGGGAAGTCTTATTGTGCTCTAGTGGATGTCAATCAAGGCACATCCTTACAAGAAACTTGTCTTAATTTTCATATGTCTTGGCAGAAGTGAGTGCCACTTTTTTTGCCATAAATAGGATGTATTGGCTTGAGGTATGAGTGAAATATCATTTATTTTTCAAAGTATTTGTTTCTGAAATGTCTGAATGCACTTAAACATGAAAGGTTCTGTTGATGATAGGGCTGTGGTGATTCGTCGATTAGACTATTCGATTTTTAAAAATCCTCGACTTCATTTTGCTTGCGTCGACTAATCTGTAAAATACCGGAAGTGGCGAGTTTCATGGACGAGGATCCATAAAACACATTATCATAATTAAGCATAATTGTAAATTCACAAACGCTACAATTTAATTAAATAATTATATGCGATGCCGTTCTAATACAGTATATGCGCTTTAATTATTTACATGCATGTAGGTTAAGTACGTGCGTCACACAGCGGCTCCGTTCACAGTAGTTCCACAGGAACTGTTATTATTTACACGTCTCAAACTCCATCTCTGCATGTTGTTGTGAGTTTGAGTTTATTATAACGTTCATCTGGGAATGCAACGTGCGCCATTCAGGGCTCTACAGTGCGACCATTTGAAAACTACTGCGTGCGACTATGAAATAATATTTAGGAGCAGCTGTGCGACTGACCCGATCCGCGTGATTCGTCGATTTTTATTAGACTATTCGATTTAAAAAAATCCTCGACTTCATTTTGCTTGCGTCGACTAATCTGTAAAATACCGGAAGTGGCGAGTTTCATGGACGAGGATCCATAAAACACATTATCATAATTAAGCATAATTGTAAATTCACAAACGCTACAATTTAATTAAATAATTATATGCGATGCCGTTCTAATACAGTATATGCGCTTTAATTATTTACGTGCATGTAGATTAAGTACGTGCGTCACACAGCGGCTCCGTTCACAGTAGTTCCACAGGAACTGTTATTATTTACACGTCTCAAACTCCATCTCTGCATGTTGTTGTGAGTTTGAGTTTATTATAACGTTCATCTGGGAATGCAACGTGCGCCATTCAGGGCTCTACAGTGCGACCATTTGAAAACTACTGCGTGCGACTATGAAATAATATTTAGGAGCAGCTGTGCGACTGACCCGATCCGCATATTTGTGTTTGCGCTGAGGGAGCTTCAAAGGTTCTAACCCCAACAAACAGAACGTTCCCATTTGGTTATTTTTTTGGGAACCAAATAAGAGTGTTCTGGGAACGTTCCCTGTAGGTTATTTTTAGGTTTCGTTTTATAACCTAAAGAGAACCTTCCTAGAACGTTTCTCTGCAGGTTATTTTTAATTAAATTTTTATAACCTAAAGGGAATGTTCCCAGAAGGTTCCCTGCAGGTTATTTTTAGACGTTATTTTTATAACCTAAAGGGAATGTTCCCAGAAGGTTCCCTGTAGGTTATTTTTAGACGTTATTTTTATTACCTAAAGGAAACGTTCCCGGAACGTTCCCTGTAGGTTATTTTTAGTTGTCATAACCATGTAAACTAATTAAAACTTTGCAGATGTTTCTGATTATTCTAATGATGAAATGTGTATTTTTAATCATAAACAAACCATTTTTGCAGAATTTCATGTCTGAAATAAGCTTTTAATAAAGTGTAGACATCAAAGTAGTCAATTATAATGCATTATAATGATAATATAATTCCAACTTTATAGCTGAAATTAAGCCAAGGTTAAGCGTAGTCTGAAAAGCATATCATAAACACTGGGTTCCCTCTCATAGGCTCACTTTGATGCTGCGATGACGTCATCGCTTTGGGAACACCTTTGGTGTGACGAATGTCTGAAGCCCTTATACATCACACTAGGGCTGCACGATTAATCGCAAGCGAACACCAATTTATTGGCCAAATAGCGCTTAGCACCGCCCTCAATGCGCACGTGCTATTTCCATCAGATTTAATTTCCTTCAGGAAGCTAATCATCTGTCGCCCGTAAGAAAGTGTTATTTTATCATGTTCTCAGCTAAATTCTTCTAAGAGCAGTTTACTCCTCTTCAGAGGACACGATGAGCTACAGGAGATGGATCGAGCCGTGTTGACAGGTCCATCGCAGGAGGAGACACTCATGACAGGTGCGTGCAATGTTTGGGCGTTTCTGTGGTTGCCAAGGCACCGCACGAGACGGTCGCTTGGGGTGACGCAAGTTCTCTCCTTTTCTCTCGCTCTCTCCAGGCCATGTCCAAGCACCATGTGCAACCGCACAAGCGTAAGAGCGCTACAGGGACCCCGTGGTCTTCTTCAATGATAATTTGCGGCCTACCCTGGAAGCTTGCGATGCGATGTCTTTCGGTTGTATGGCGTATGACGAAGACGTGCTGTCCACAGCGGCCTCCGATTCGGAGGATTTATTGGGTGAAGTGTGCAGTTCTCTCCCTCCGAGTGGACAGGAGAAACGCACCTCCCCGTCTTACAGCAAACTATTAGACGTTGTAACACGCGCTGTGAATAAGCTGGGGTTAGAGTGGGATAGCGAGCCGGCGCAAAATCAGACCCAGTCGAAACTGGACGATCGATTTTTGTCCAGCCGCACTCCGTCTCAGCCCCGTAGGCCTCTCCCCTTCTTCCAAGATCTCCACCATGAGGTTTCGAGACCTTGGAAACAACCTTTTTTCAGTGCACATCACTAATCCCGCGGCCGCTGATTTCGCCACGGTTTCTAAAATGGCGGATCATGGCTATGCGGCGATGCCGGCCGTAGAAGAGACTCTTGCGGCACATCTCGCTCCAAATTCTGCGCCGTCTTGGAAGTCACGCCCTCTGCTGCCGTCCAAGCCGTGTAGGGTTACTTCCGCTTTGATCAGAAAATCTTACATGGCCGCTGGGCAGGCCGCGGCTACACTACATTCTATGGGTGTACTCCAGGCTTATCAGGCAGTTTTGCTCAAGGAGCTGGACGAGGGGGAAGGCCTGACCCCAGAGGCCGTTAAAGAGCTCAGACGAGCTACTGACTTGGCGCTAAGGGCTACCAAGCACACGGCTCGAGCAGTGGGCAGGTCCATGGCAGGCTTAGTGTCAGCTGAGCACCATCTTTGGCTTACTCTCACTTACATTAAGGAGAAGGACAGGACCTTTCTTTTGGACGCCCCCATTTCGAGTGACGGTCTGTTCGGAGATTCGGTCACTATGGTCGTGGAAAAGTTTCAAGAAGCGAAACAGCAGTCCGCCGCGTTTCGTCAGCTCATCCCACGCAGGGCTAGGGAAGTAGAGCGTCAGCCACCTGCGGCTCGTTCACGCTCGTCCTCCTTACAGCGTCATGAGCCATCACCTAAGTTACCCCCTCGTAAGGACTGGGGTCCTAGGTCTCGAACCGCACAAGCGTATTCGCCTCTCTCGCTGTGGCCTCCTGACTCCGATCTTGACGGTCCTGCCGCATATTGCGCCTCGGGCAGTTTTAGGTCGAGTCCTTACGACGAGCACCCTCTCGGATACTCTGTGCGTTCCAGCCTTCAGCGTTCGAAAGAAAGCCCAAGGGTCATGCGAGTATGGCCTGTTTATGACGGCCTTCAAAGTTCCCACCTTTGGGGTGGGGGGCAGGCCCGACAGGACAATCGGACATCATCCCGTTATAGCTTCTTCCGCCACTCAGGTGCTCCGGGATCCTATACGGGAGAATCAGGCGTACGTTCCAACAGAAACAGAAAGCCCAAGACCCCTGGCAGACTATTGGGCCAAATAATATTGGATCTGACCAGTTGTTTGTGTGTTTTGGTGGTAGGAGCAGAGGTTCTGCTGTCACTAAACAGCGAATTTTAGCTGTCATGAATTTTAGGAGGCTATCTCTGGCCTATGAGGCGCGTGGCTTGACTTCGCCTCTAGGTGTGCATGCTCATTCTACGAGAGCAGTGGCCTCTTCTCAGGCCTTTTTCAAGGGGTCCTCGATGGAAGATGTTTGTGCTGCGGCAGGATGGACCTCTCGTAGCACCTTCATTAAGTTTTACAGTCTGGATGTGAGGATGGCTCCTGGCTCCCGGGTCTTATCCGCTTGAGCAGACGCTTTCCTCGGTCTTCCAGCTATCCAAGGTACGTCAGGCGTTATGGTATAGCGTTCCCAAAGCGATGACGTCATCGCAGCATCAAAGTGAGCCTATGAGAGGGAACATCTCGGTTACGTATGTAACCTTGGTTCCCTGAATAGGGGAACGAGATGCTGCGATGCTCGGCCGTTCCGTACCTTGATAGCGCTTCTTCGAAAATCAGTGAAATCTGAAGGAAATAGCGCGCAGCATGCTATATAGCTCACTTACGTGCGCATTGAGGGCGGTGCTAAGTGCTATTTGGCCAATAAATTGGCCTGATGGTATAAGGGCTTCAGACATTCCTCACACGAAGGTGTTCCCAAAGCGATGACGTCATCGCAGCATCTCATTCCCCTATTCAGGGAACCAAGGAGATGTTTTTTTTGTATCTTTCTTTACTGCGCGCCTCTGATCTGCACGCGCTTTTCTCCTGTCTTCCACATTAAGCCGCGCACGCGCATAATTTAAAAATGAACGGTCATTTCGTTTTACTGACTAGCATTCGTTTATTGACATCTTTATTGTAGAAATACTTATAATTAATAAATGTGAGAGTAAATATTGTGATTTCAGAGAGATTTGACACGTCTAATTGAAGAGAACATGTTAAACGAGAGTTGTTGTTTTTTTTACTGACCAAAAGAGAGAAGCACATCATCGTTAATTCAGTGGTAAGAAATGAATTAAATGTTCTCCTACTTAAAGTCAAATGTTACTCATTTTTAATGTTTGGAAAAATAAAATTCATTTTTAAACCCCAATATTTTGTTGAAGTCATTATTTGGTGCTTAAGAAGCGTAAAATCAGGGTTATTATATGGTACATGGTAGTTAAACGGATAATGAACGGATAATTCAATCTCATTTAATGCTCCTTATGATGGTTAAATGTGCTCTGATTATCTAAACAAGAGTTTAGTACTGATTATTGAGGTAACGTTACATATCCGTCCGTCTTCCATGGCGCTTAGAACAAGTGTCTTATCATTTATTATACTACATAGCATTATATAGGGTGCGAACTACGGGGGAGCTAGGGGGAGCTCGGCT